AAATGGCTGGATGTTGTTCCATGACCATCCATCATCTCCAGTCAATCGAGCATAACGATCCCAGTCGTCTTTGGAACCACGATTGTAAATCATTCCATCTGGATATGATTTAGGTAATTAAACTTAGAGATAACATCAGTACAGAGACGTACTCCCACCAAGAATAAAAGCGTGAGGAAAGGGAAGTGTTCGATTGTTGAGAGCGGGTTGGGGGATAGTAGTCTATATTATATAACAGACTGTGAGCGCAAGTGTTTTCTTTAATGATGTGACTGACCGTATTCCACTCGTACTGTGAGGGTATGATATTCTTGAACAAGGGAATGTCAGTAGGCATTATTCCCGTGTTACTGAGAGAAGGTAAGTTGGAGGAGGACGGGACGTACGGTCCTCCTGCTTCCAAAAGCAGGACGCTGACGTTGACATTCTCCGATAGCCTGCACTGAACCTGCTGTTCCGCCTGTACATAAAATGTAAGAAAGAAAGTTGACATTGCAGTGAATAACTTGCCTCCTAGGATCACAAAGTCGTACTCGGTGGGTGGAACATTTTGAATATGTTGAAAGAGGGCAGCGATGACATATAATTGAGGTTAAAGAAGGATCAGGATGAGAAAAGAGAGGATTGAAGGACTGGCTACTGCTCCCATTTTGACGGAGCCCCTTCCTTTGTTTACATTGTTGATATACATGCACCTGCAGGATCAGCTGTTCAGTAGGGATGATGTCGAATTCGCTAGAAGAAAACATCTACGCGGCGGCAAATAACGAAGGACTATTCTTGACAGAGGGAATGCTTCGCCACGGAGTTTGAAGGATTAATTTGGGGAGAGGAATAAAACTTGAACGCCAATAATGGTATAGTTGTTTGAGCCAACAGCGGATCTATTATCAAGGCCGAAACGGTTAGTTGCGGAATCATGAGGCCGATGGAATCGAAGAGGTAGCGAGGTTATCTTCGCGTTGTGACACTGCCTTGGACTCGGAGCGGATTAGTGAATATTACTAGTAGATCTTACCTATCTATCAGGCTGTGAACTTTTATCTGGAAGGGAATAGAAGAGGAGTTTTTGTCATTCCAGAAAATTGCCATTTTGAAAGGTACCATGCACTAATGCTACTTCGCCTCATATACCCCACTTTTTCTTTATCAGTGAAGACGCCCGTTCAGCAACAATGTATACCGGCGCCTGTGTATGACCTGCTGTAACAAGCGGCTGCAGTGACCCGATTTGATCCAAGTTCAATCTTTGGGAAATAAACTCACTCACCAACACAGACGCATCTACAATACGCAGGCCCTCTACACATTTCACAAGAAGGTCTGGGTTAACGACACCGTAATCTGCATCTTCAGCAGTCATGCTTGCAGTACCCACGACATGTTCGTTGGGCCCTCCGATGGATCGAATATATTCATCTAGTGCGTCGTCACTTTCCAATGCTGCAGCGAGATTTGAGGTAGGCCCAACAATATACTCGTCCCACGCAGGCGCAGAAAAGAAGGCGATTGCAGTTCTTATAGCTTCACGCATCCCCAAGATGTCGAAACGAGTTGTGAGAGTTTTTGCGTCCACAACTGGAGGTGCGAAAACATTCAATGGGAGTGTGGAGTTGATTGTGATGGAGCCTCCTGTAAACAAAGCGTAAAGAGGGATGATAGAAAAATAGTGCTTGGAAAACACTTGCGAGAAGTTGGGGTCAGAATCGTCGTTGATAAGGTCAAAAACTTTCCCGTAGGTGGTACAATCGGAAAGAATCCAGGTTGCATTCCGAGAGATACATGAGGAGCAGTGGGTCCAGATGACGGATCCTCCCCCAGAATTTCCAGAGTACTTTGGTTAAATCTCAAGTACACATTTTGAGTTTCAGGGGAATCTACGAGGGGACCCTGTTTCGTTTCCATCCATTCATCCACAAGGAGGTTTTGGAGAGTCTGGTTTTGAAAAATAATGTCATCGGTAGCGGCGCTTGAGTTGACAATCCAGGCGTTCTTGGTAGATGCATGGACGGACATGTTTTGGCCTACGCCGGGAAGATGAACAAGCGGTTGGATGCCGATGGAGGATAGGAAGCTCGAGTTGCCAATGCCAGAGTTCAGTAAGATTTGGGGCGTGTTAATCGCTCCGGTCGATATGATGACCTCTTTGCTGGCTTTGGCATGATATAGTGGACCTTGAAGTGGAGGGTATATTAGAAATATTGTGAAAGTTTGGAGGTGAGCCTACCATCAAGATCATGCGCAAACTCTACACTGAGAAATGCTGGTGTCTTCGAGTCTGAAGTGATTTGCAGCACACGCGAGCCTCGGGCGTTCACAAGAACGTGAAGATTAGGTCTTTGCAGAAAGTTGGGTGCAAGATAGGACGCTGCAGCACTACTTCGAGTTCCGTTATTGATCGTGTACTGCGCCCAGCCTTTTATTCGATGAACAGATGTCAGTATCTGCATAGAATGGAGGAAGGATTCTTACTTAGGCCTAAAGGATTGCCTGAATTGTAATCAAGATTGAACGAGAATATTCCTCCGAGTTGCTGGGAAGCCTGGAGACCCAGCGAGTCAATGGGGAGGCTGAATCCTTCGAGCGTAACCGAGTTAATGCCGGTAGTACTGTGGATTGCAGGATCGTATTGTCCAGTAGTGTTGTGATTGTCCGCAGGAGGTGTCCAGCGTTCGTTCTTGAGTGAAATATAGAATATCGGACGTCTGCATTACGCCCAAGAAAAATACTTACTTTGGCAATAAACGGCTGGATACTATTCCATGACCAACCATCGTCTCCAGTCAGTCGCGCATACCGATCCCAGTCGTCCTTAGGGCCGCGGTTGTATATCATCCCATCTGGATAGATGTACTCAGTACAAAATCATCAACGGCGGCTGATACGTACTATGAGAGCTACTGCCACCGAGAATAAAAGCATGAGGAAAGTTAACTGATCGATTGTTGAGAGCGGGTTGAGGGATAGTAGTCTGTTATTGAATATCAGAGCAAGCGTCTTCTTCAATGATGATGTCGCTGACGGTATTCCATTCGTATTGTGAAGGTATAATATACGTGAACAGGGGAATGTCAATAGGCAATATTCCCATGTTACTGAGAGAGATATAAGCGAAAGTATACTATAGGAGGAAAGACAGACATACGGTCCCCCTGCTTCCACAAGCAGGACGTTGACATCTTGGTTCTCGGAAAGACGATTAGCTACAACTGAGCCTGCTGTTCCACCTGTAAAGAAAACTTGAGACAAAAAACTTGAGATTCCAATGAATAACTTGCCTCCTAGGATAACAAAGTCGTAGTCAGTGGGTGGAATATCTTGGATATGTTCAAAGAGGGCAGCGATGACATATGATTGAGGTTGAAGAAGGATCAGGAAGAGAAGATAGAGGACTGCTACTACTCCCATTTCGCGTCGTGGTCCTTTCCTTTCTCTTCATTAGAGTTGATATATTCACTGGCATGATCAGGTGTTCAGGGGAGAGATATCGATAATCGAAAACATTGAATAGAGAATGCAGCGGCGGCGTCGGAAAAACGGTGAAAAACCAGCTATTCTTGACAGAGGGGGAGTTTAGAAGGTTGAGTTTTGTCAAAGGATTCGCAAAGGAATGGCAAAGCCAATACGTATCTGAGCCTGAGATTAGTGTTATCACCTACTATTACTACTTATTAGGCAATACAGGCTTCCGTCTTCTTTAGAATGTACAGAAAATTGAATCAATTGAAATGTGGTGAGACTAAATCCCCGCGGACATTGCCGAATGATCTGCTGACCTAATGCATACGCGTTTAGCTTGCGCGTCACGTCGACCTTGCGTCGACCTCATTCTTCTCTCTTCTGCATACTACGATGGATCACTTTCCTATGAACTGGGGTCGCCCGGTACGCTGCGATCTGTATACCCTTTCAGACTGACTGACATTCTTTTAGCGAAACGATGCCTTGGACGCTTACGGGACGTACCCAATTGCTCAACGACCATATAACGGACCAACCGATGCGTTTTCGGCTGGCGTTCAACACACTCAGTCAGTAATAGTAACTCGGAGAGAGAATTATTTTGTGACAACTCTTACTCAGGCAGCCCATTGTAACGGGCACGAGCGTTCTTGCTATTAAGTATAAGGACGGTATCATGATGGCTGCCGACAATCTGGGTGCGTGCTGAGAAACGTTCGAGTTTTCGCTATCTGACGCTCTTCCAGCCTCATATGGTTCCCTCGCTCGTTTCAAGGACATCCAACGTTTACATCCCGTAGGCACCAACACCGTTATAGGTGCAGGAGGCGACATGTCCGACTTTCAATATATTCAAAACTTTTTGGATCAGCTAATGATTGAAGAATTTACGGAACAAGACGGTCATTCTCTGGGTCCTAGTGAGATACACGAGTACCTCTCGCGTGTCATGTACGCCCGAAGGTCCAAGATGAACCCTCTGTGGAATTCGTTGATTGTTGGAGGATTCAAGGATGGGAAGCGGTGTGTATTATCCTTTGCGCTATGGAGTAGTATTCATCGTCCGATCCTTTAGGTTCCTATCGTACGTCGATCTCCTGGGCACCACATATTCTGCTTCAACACTAGCCACTGGATACGGCTCCTACATTGCGCAACCGCTTCTTCGTAAGGCTGTAGAAGGAAACGAGGACACGCTTACAGAAGATGAGGCAGTGAAGATTATCGAACAGAGCATGAAAGTGTTGTACTATCGTGATGCCCGAAGTTTGAACAAGGTGCGTTTCTTCTTTATGCATCGGATTGAGTGAAAATTGACCGACGTTTTGCGATCCATAGTATCAAATCGCAAAGATAACAGCTGATGGAGTGATCGTTTCGGAGTCTCGTAGCGCGGAGACACAGTGGTCGTTTGCGGAGGGTATCAGAGGTTACGGGGCTCAGACACAGTAAAAGATTGTAGTTTGCATAGGTTGTAATTCCAGTACGATAGTCTTTGAAATTGGCTACTATATCATTGACGTTTACGAAGTTCATATGGTCCAATAGTGTAGAGGTTATCACACGGGATTCTGAGTCTTTAACGTTGCAGGCTTCCCGTGACCCAGGTTCGAGTCCTGGTTGGACCTTATCGTGATAGTAGTGCGAAGCTGGGCTCGCAGTTTGTTTTTACTCTGAAACTGAATATTGTTATTTCGCGTGAATGAACAAGACTGCTTAATACTTGCTCGAGAAAAGTCTTACTTGACTTTTATAGGGATGCACGAGAAATCGAATGTAACATGCGTGGCGACCTTCACGCGTCTATTTCATGTACAGTTCCGAAGAAGTGCAAGAATTCCATCCCGAGGATTGTTTTGCGCGTGGTGTCGGGGGGTGAGCAGTACCGTTTGACGAAGACGGTAAAGCGTCAACTTTCACGTCTTTAGACTAATCTGGTCGGCGCAAGCAATACATATATTGTGGTATTACAAATCCTTGGCAATGGCCGCTGGAAGCATCGGTACTGTTGTATACTGAATGTCGCTGGGGTTCAACGTGACGGTACGTCTTCATGCCCAAAGTACCTTGTCCGCAAGCTATAGTGCTTGCAGACCGTATTGAGGAGTCGAACAACTCCAACGGGTAATCTGACACAGACTTCCTTGTAGATGCCACGATGATTTACCAACTTCAAGTTCAGGTTATGTTTCGAATCTTGATTAGCATCAGTGTCATCGAAACCGGGATGTAAAGAGCATCTCTTGAATGACGCTTGAATAAGATTGGCCCATTCCTTGTAAATTACAAGTCGTCTTTGCCGTCTAGCAAAAATACCAATACGAATATAAAAACAACGTATCAATAGCTTGAACACCTTTGAATGGGAATTTACTTTGCTCGCTAGCTCATCCAACCAAGTCAACGCGCTTTTTAGCAGACATATGATTTCAACATTCTTGGTCCCAACCTTCTGGGATTCAACCATTTTGTCTATCCAAGTCCCGCAGTTGAAAGCGTTACTACTAGAGATCAACCCTTTCTTCCAATCGACGTCGATGTCAATCATGGAATGTCCGAGATTCAAGCCTACGTTGTGTTCGGATATCCTCAGCGTGACGCTGAAGAATTGCTTGTATAATCTTCCGCAACGGTCGAGTACGCGTAAGCTCGCTAGTCGTTCTACGTTACCCAGGTTTCGTCTTTGGGGAATTGACGAAGAACGTTTCGGACAGCAAAGCGAGAGCATCGGGTGCCATATTAGTCTTGAATGTTTTGGATCATCTACCACGGCAAATCACGCGAACTGTGATCAGGATGGTAGCCGTTAGGGAGAATTTCGGTGAACAGGAAAAAACAATCACCGTGGTTTGCGAGCAGAATCGAGCAGATTAGGAATCAAACCGTACTTCAAGGCTTAGGCTTGCCAAGGGTCCAGAGAAGCCGAACTGACCAATCTGTAAATTTGGACAGAACATACCAAGTCCTGAGTGAGATTGCGGCCAGTTGAGACCAATTTGGAGGATTGAGCGGGCGCAAGAAGGGCGGGACCTTGGCCTCTACATGATCACCTTGAACCATTGAGCTAATTTTTTGAGAACGGATAAGCCCTCCGCTTGGCTGTTATTGTTGATAACACATTAGAACGTAGCCCACACCATGCGAAGCCAAAGACATGCCTCAATCGATCATGGACATAATCCAAAGCTCATGGAGCATGTCACAGACACTATATCGCTAGTGATTGGAATTTCGCATGTGGTCCAATAGTGTAGAGGTTATCACACGGGATTCTGAGAACGTAAACGACTCCTCTTCCCGTGACCCAGGTTCGAGTCCTGGTTGGACCTTAACGTTTTTTTAAGGGCCTGACGTTGAACTGGCCACTTGTTCTGCAAAACTCCCTCACTAATTAACGCGTGAAAGAACAACACTTGCTCGATACTTGTTCGAAAATCTTACCAAATGCTAGTTCACTTCGATAAGTAGGCGCGTTTTGAAAATTGAGTCCTGCACTATCTCGCGACAGTTCCGTGGAAGTCCAATAGGGTGCTTGCGCATAATACTGCAAGGAGGGAAGTACGTGCAACGGTTTCCGAGCAAAACGATCTTGTCTTGTTCCTCGAGCGGGAGCAGGAAGGACCTCCGACGAGCATAGAGCTGGTCGTTATGGTCAGTTGATGGTCAACGAGTGTTTAAAGAATAAGATTGCAAGTAGCGGGATAGTATAGCGGAGACTACGAAGAGAAGATAAAAACAGTCCTGGATGAATCAAACTGGTGAGAAAAGAAAGGCATAGACGATGATATCACGTACTAATCCTTCCTCACGAACGGAATCTGGAACCCACTAACCAATGCCCTCGCTCTCTCCTGCGCGCCAGCACCTACAGCGTTTGTGATGAAATGTACATGCATACCGTACATCTTTGGATACGCGTCCTGGTTGACCTCTATCTGAGGCCAGAAACCCATCGCGGACGGGGGTAAACCAAAGCTGACGACACCGGTCACATCGCTGGGTTTGACAGCATTACTCGAAGCCGGTAGATACGAGTTCTGACCGGTAACAGGGGGAGGGATAGGGATGCCATTAAACTCACGTAGACGGGGTAAAACGAATTCTGTGAGAGATGCGATGATGTCGTACATTGGAGGTCCTTTGAGGGTGACTTTGGCACCTATGGGGACCCCGCGACGAATCCAGCCTCCGACTTGTTTTTTTCCAAGAACTACTTCAACACCCTTGACGCCTTTTGGATGAGCACCGCCGCCAGCTTCGGTCTCGCCGCTGATAGCACGAAGAGTGGCAATGACGCCGAGAAGGTTGGAGCGTGAAGTCAAAGCATCTTTTGACATGATATGAAGCTGGACAGCTTCGAGACGGGTGATGTTTGCAGGAATACTTGGCTCGGCAGGGATTTTAGACCACTGTTTTCCACCAACTGGGTCATTTTTACGGTATTTGGAGTAGGGATTTGCAGGATCCCAGCGAAGACGAATTTCTCGCGGAGGTTTTAGAGGAAGTGAAGATTGGAGGACATGAGAATAATTCATGTACATTAGATTGTCGGCGAGAGTCGTATGGTAGTGGTCTGCGAGCCTGCAAGGCGCGACATCCCGTACATGCAGAGCAACTGGTGGCCGCGGAAGTTTTCGGCGCGTGTCTGCAGGAAGAGCCTTGCGGATTTGTGGAGGTCGACCGAACCGTGTTAGTCGAGCTAGTGGCATTTTGGAGGAAGAAGAAGAATTAGACGCTGAAAAAGAGTCGGCGTCAAAACGGGCTCTTCTTCTTCTCCCCATAAACCATGGCGCCTTTCACACCCGACAAATGGCTGGACCAGCTCCGGCTCTGCCAGCATCTATCTGAAGACTCGATGAAGACACTTTGCGATAGAGTCCGGGCACTTTTAATGGAAGAATCCACTATTCGACCCGTATCCAGTCCTGTTACCATCTGCGGCGATATTCACGGTCAATTCTGGGATCTACTCGAGCTCCTTAGAAAAGGAGGAGATGTACCAGGTACAAGCTATATTTTCATGGCAAGTAGGTGTTTACTGCTTCAATCTACACAATTTTGTCAATATCATCTTATTCTACAGGGTGATTTCGTGGACCGAGGCCATTATTCCCTCGAAACCGTTTCAATGCTCCTTGTGCTTAAAGCTTCCTGGCCAGACAAGGTCACTCTCCTAAGAGGAAACCACGAGAGCCGCCAGATTACCCAGGTATACGGTTTCTACGACGAGTGCCAGCAGAAATACGCCAGTGCGACAGTGTGGAAAGCGTGTTGTAGTGTTTTCGACTATCTGAACCTCGCAGCCATTATCGATGGGACCACTCTGTGTGTTCATGGTGGCCTCAGCCCAGATATTCGCACTCTGGATCAGATTAGAGTCCTTAGTCGCGCACAGGAGATTCCACACGAAGGTCCGTTTTGTGATCTGATGTGGAGCGATCCGGAGGAGGTCATGGATAATTGGGCAGTCAGCCCGAGAGGCGCAGGATGGTTGTTTGGTGGAGGAGTAACCAAGGAGGTGAGTGCGCAGAACATATGTACCGCTCAACATTTTGAATTTCCCCCAGTTCAACCACGTCAATGGACTCTCACTAATCGCTCGAGCCCATCAACTCGTCCAGGAGGGTTATAAATATATGTTTGACGAGCAACTTGTTACGGTCTGGAGTGCACCGAATTACTGTTATCGTTGTGGAAACATGGCCTCGATTATGACCGTGCACGAGTCGGGTGAAAGAACATTTGAGGTTTATGGGCCGGCAGAAGAGAATGAAAGAGATAAAGGGATGCAGACGAGGAGGATGGTAAGTGGCCTTGTCTTTCCTTGTCGAGTTTACTGACGCTTTGTAGAATATGCCGTATTTTGTATGATACATATTAGATGTTCTACTTGTAGCGTTACGTTCGGCGAATAGCTGTTGTAGTTGTAATTTTTGCCCTAATATGTCGCTACATCGTCTGGCGAGATCACCTTCGTTGGGTGTCGGCCATCCTTGACTCTTGATCCTAACTTTTAGTCTGTAAATGTGATACAGACAGTGGTGAGCGTGATTTTCTGAATCTAGAATCTTCTATGAGCTCATGATTGACAATTCATGCAAGCAGAAATATATGTAAAGGTCGTATGTGCCTGGGTATTTCGCCAATATCGGCTCACTGAGCAGTGGAGTGCACCGAACATGGCAATCATGGAGGTATTATAGAAGGCCACGGTAAATCATACGTATTACACATACAGAACAGTTTGCGACATATTTCTCTTTCTCGCTCGTCAGTTTCTTTGCATAATTGGACCGGTCAAAGCGTGGTCTACGGCATGAGGGAGCACTGGTGTTGTGCCCAAAGGCCACAGAGCTGCCTGGACATTCCTTTGTCTTGTAGGGTTTTTTGTCCCTCGTAGTATATAATCTCCAATTTCTCGATATTCCTACTACCTTACCATATCTCACATAGAGCTCGATAGTGAGCTTCTTTTGTTTTTGTCATCCCACCCTTACCACTTTCCCAGTTCTTGGTTTTTTTTTCTTCTTTCATTTACATCTCATGTATTACATACATTTCGCCAGTGCCGGCTTGAGCTAGGCGTTCCCTTTTGGGTCGCTTGCGAGAGAGCATCGGTGACCAAACAAATATTGTTTTACTCCCAATACTCTCGCGCCAGCTTTTCCCCTTCCTTCTCAGCAGACGAGCACCATAGACCGTACCGAAATCTTTTATTGTCTCTGCTCTCAACATCTAGTGCGCTTCTTTCCCGGCTCGTGATACCCAATATCCAGATACCGCTAGTACCTATTCGGATTCGTAGCCGAGGAACGAGCGGAAGCCAAGCTCGACAGTTTTCAGCTGGGAGCCAATTATCACATTACATCCTATTCGAAACACCAAGACAAGCATGTTCCTTACAGTGTCCCAAGCTGGCGGTTACTTGCATTTTTGAGTCGAAATAGGTGAGGATATGGAGGATATTAAGATTATTACATGGCGATGAGTGGTACAACACAGAATAACCGGATTATGGCAAAAGAATATCCATATGTACAAGAAAAGCAAACAGGATAATGAGCACCGTTCCAATACACGGCGGCACAGACAGGCTTGCAGCGCTCCACTTGGGGCTTTAAGCTCGCTTGTGGTAAGGCGTCATTTCCTCGTACTCATCCTGGGTGAGATTCCGAGTCCTGCTCCCCGCTGGCGTCTGATACTCAAGAATATAAAAGTAACCTCCAAGAACCGTATGCCCATAGTCTATAACTGTATGTTCGACGGAATGCCCAGTTTGAGGGTTCAAAATGTGCTTCTTGGTACCAATAAGGTTGACCCCAGAAGGGGGACCACGTTGTACAGGAGCAGAATTTTGCGAATAATCTCCCGTTACTGCCATGTAACTATGTTAGACGTGAGTATAGATGCAAATGGGACATTGAGATAAATATACTGACGCCTCTCTTCCAGCCACTTGGTTTATGAGCCCAGCGGTCTTATCGTCATAGAACGCCGATCCTTCCATCTGAATGGCCTCCATCGCAGCACTACTTGCAAAAGCTCGGAGACACCACGCGGAGACACTGGAGAGAGGGCAAATGAGACAGCCTGTCAGACTTTGCAAATTTAAACTCACTCGTTTGCAGCGAGGCACATTGTGTAAAATCGCGTCGAGATTTTTTAACCAGGGCTGTCTTTCTGCGTGCGTGGGCGGGATAATCCTCAGAGGATGGTTATCCCACTGCATGACGGCTGCATCGTAGAGCGGTTGGAGTCGATTTATGTCCTTGCCCACTTGATCCGACACATGGTTAATGGCGGTTTGCGCAGTGACCGTATATGAAGAAAGTCTGTCGGTAATGAGTCCGACATGATGACTGTGTGTCGGATAGTCGCCAAGCGGTATCAGAGATAAGTAGGCGTGAGAGTCGGCATTATGCCGATAGGCGCTTATGCCTCGCATGTATTTTTTGAATACCAGGCTGATTGTATTATTGTCTAGTCCGACCGCCAAGCTCTCGCAGGAAGACCACACTGTGGATATTGGCCTACTGTACCACCCCGTAGACGAAACACTTCGCCTTTGTATGTCCCACAGGATAAGAGTAATACTTGTTGTCGCAGATGGATTTGTGATTCGTTGGACTAGGGTAAAGACTCGGTTTCCGGTCGTTTCGCTGCGGTTAACGAGGGTTTAATTTAGTGGGGGTTTGTGGTGTGGAAGTTCCAGCGAACTCGGCGGGTTGGTTAACCTGGGTTGCTGTGTATACGCCGGCGACAGCACGATCATCCCTTTTCATCCCTTTCCCGATGGTGACAATTGCGTTAATACTAGCCACCGATGGGT